AACTGACGCGCAATTCGCGTGGAAAAATTTGGGACCTCGGCAACCCTTGCCCTCCAATTAGCTGGAGGGTCGGGCGCATCTCCTCCCACCGATGGCTTGATCACTCGCCGTAGGTTTCAAAGTTACGTAGGCGAGGATTAGATAAGACTTGAGAGAGGTAGTGCATTGAAGAGCACAACGATTGAGATTCGCCATCAATGCTCAAATCAACGGGCAAGGAAGGGTACCATTTCTCGGGTATTCTGGGCCGTTTCGCATAGGGTCTTTTTCCTTCTTTTCGATGTACCACTCACCAGCACCTAGCTTATTTTGAAATTGGGAGTTGGGCTTTTCATCGTGAATTCGATCCTTCATAAGTCAGTCTTGTAGATGGAGAACTCACGTAGGGGCTCTGGGCAATGTTACGAATCTAGCAAGCAGTCTAACCTATCAGGGAAGCCTTAGGGAGCCATGAACGGTTCAACTTCGGTCAACAGATTGGGATCACCACAGATGGAAAATTTTGGACTTAAAGTTATAGTTACGCACCAGGATAATTGATCAGATGCAGGAAACTAGGTCTACCTTGTCGACTTTCGTTACAGACCAAATATGAAAAAAATGATGTGGAAATCCAGCCAGACACTCTAAAGAATCAGGAATCTGTAGGTAGAGAAAGCACGCGGAGTAGATCTACTTGCCGTACTTACGTATAGGACGAGGCACCCAAGAATAAAGCAACAATCCTCCAAAAAGCGATTACTCGGAGTTCGTTGCTGTCGAAGAATTCGTCACAAGTAGAACCATCCAAACCTAATACCCTCTAGATTTCGAGTAAATTTCACACCCTGGATGTAAGCCGGCAAAATGCCCTACAAAGCTTTTGATTCCCTGAGGCGCAGAACTACGCGCCTTAGTTGCGTCGCACCGTCACGCGTCATCCCCTCATCCGAAAGGCTTTCGTGCTTAGCGGGGGGAGGAGGGGGCAGATCTCAATTCTATTCTGGAATTACTTTGAGGGCCGAGTCAGAGATAGCTTCCCTGAAGTTAGTGATGTTCCATCAAGTACCATGCAGTTGGTCAAAGACAAAATGTCTTGGTCCTCATAATTTGGGATCACCCTGTACACAAATGCCTCAATAATGGTACGTGCCCCGACGATCTTTCAGCATCTTGGGTAGGAATTTCTGAAAATATTCTGCGTTGTTGATAAGAATATGTAGCGACTACAAGTATTATCAGGTGAATTCCCTATAGGCTAGTTAGACGTGAGACTGGTTTGTCTTGGGATGAAATGCTGCATCCCGAGTGAACCAAGTAGCACAGAACATCGAAAAGCAAAGAAGGCCACACAAAAGGTTAATTTGCTACTGTTGGCTTACTTTTTATCACTCACTGGCCATCAACGTGGTATTTACCTTGAAAGGTGCGGATAAAGCTTTGTGAGATCAACGAAACAAACGCGAGAGTTGGCTCATTCGAGGAAGTCCCAAAAGTTGAAGCGCGTTCAGAACAGGGGTTTTTGCAAGGCGAATGGGGGCTGCGCGTGGCAGCAATGGACTGAATGACCATTATTCTGAGCGCGCTTGGGCGTTCTTGGAAATGGCAAAAAAGTATAGGGCAACTAATGGGGCTCCGATCCCTCTTCGAGGAAAAATGCTGCCTGCCTTGTTCGGTTCTTCTTTCTTCCTTGCGCTCAGCAGAGCAGTAGCGCTTTGAAGAACCTTCTGATGGAACTCCGTTTTTGTAAGGGAAGATATTTCTGTCAAATTGATTCATGTTATTGAAGAGAAGCCTCCTGCACATATACTAGCAATAGGTATATGTTGGAATTAGGGAGAGAAATGCGCAGATATAAAAAAAATCATTCTCATTAGAAGTTCACGAGATATGAACCTAATCCCAGCTTAAAGTTCAAATACGCTGTTAAAAAGCTCACAGTGAGCGAAAGAATCGACCGGCATTGGGCCAAAAACATTGAGCGAAGGGGATTACGAATAAAAACTAGGTGGTTCTTAGCAGGAAGGTCTTTTAGGGCATGGATCTCTTTTTGAAAACGGTTTCTTGCATGATAAAGGGGCACAAGCATGGATTACAAAACTAGGCTCCATTTTTTCTGAGCGGCCCTTTGAATGCCAAAAGAGGAGAGGAAAAATTTCTTCAAAAGTCGGAGTTTCCGCACGTTCAACGTGGTTTATATCACTCGTTATGTTAAGTGGACGCACAGTAGACGGTTTTCTTAACCTGAACGTTGAAAACAGCGTTGAATAAAGCCAATACCAAAAATTGTATATAATAAGTGCTCAAAAGCACAAGGAAGTTTCGTAAGAGTCGTTGACAACCGTTGTTTCATTGTGCAGCGTTGGTCGGATGGTCGAGTGGGTAGCGTGATGGACTCCGGTTTGCATGGTTTGTTCGAAGTTGATGCTTCGGTTCTTCGGTTTTTTTGCTTTTGCGTTTTTCCAATCATCACTTTTTTGCATTTGCGTGCTTGTGCGTGAAAGAAGCCTGTAAGTGTCATTTCCAAGAACTTTCTCCCACAATTCTGCGATATTACGTAGTACCATGTTTTATCAGTTGTGTACGAAATTCTGTTTACAAGCAATAAATAACTACCGGTTATGGTAAAACTCAATGAAGCATCTGAATCAGACGCGGATCACACCAAATGCATCTAATGAGCGTCAGGAAAGTGCAGTTGTCATTTTCTTTGCAAAGAACACCTACTCCATTTCCTCTGAATGCAGATTGCCGGCGTTGAGGAATCTCCGGAATGCTCGTCGACGTAGCCAGTGCCCACGCAGGCATACGCCGTGCATCGACAAGATCAAGGGGTGATGCCAGATTGCCCCATAGGCAGGAACTGCGGTGGAAGTGTAACTATCAACCAAACGTGCCGCTTGCAATCATCTCGAAGCTGTCTCCAAGTGGGAAGCGTGCATGCCGTACTGACTATGGGTTTACCATGGCCCAATTTTTGAATTCGGGCCGAAATTTTGATCTTCTCTAAAACTGCGGCTATAAGGGTAATTATAGGCGCTGATTACGAATCTGATGTCCATTTTTGATGGAGGAGCGAAATTGCGCCATTTTAGCCTCCTCGGGCACCAACTCGGCGACGCTTTAGCGCCATACTATTTTCGCCTCAATACTGGGCAGAAAGCCAATCAGAAAGGTTGATGATGACCCTGATTGTAAGAGCAGGATCTATTTTATCGGCGGTAACGTTTGGATTCATTTAACATGCGCTAATACGAGATGCAAAATTTTGTCATCAGCCGGGACTGATCCCTCGACCGATTTTTCGTGTTTGTTTTCATTAGGCCCTTTCACCATACAAAAAACCGTTTTCAAAAAGGGCTTCATGTCCTAAAAACCTTCCTGATTAGTGGAAGTGGGATGCTAATAATGCAACAGTGGCAAAAAAGCAAGGAAATCCGCCAAGAACGCGCAAAGTTGGACCGTTTCTTTGCCCGTTGATCTCCGCTAATGGACGAGATGCAATCAATTGAGAGGTCATTTGCACATGTTGAACTGATAGCAACTACCATTCCTGCAAAGGTCGCACTCTGATTGATGACGTATTCCATGGCAATGTTATAGGATACACGCTAGAAGTGGAATACATCATCCAAATGATAGGAGCATTGCTGTTGCTAGCTACACTAATAGGCGGAAACAGGCGGCAGAGGCGGAGCTGAAGGAAGTGAGAGAGAAGCCCCAGGGGCTGAACTAGCGCACCTTAGACTGCGAAAAGGCCACATCTCGTTTCCTTAGCCTCTTGAAAACTGCTTCCACGTGGTGCATGTACGTCCATGCTTGCACACGCACTCTATCGTAATCTCCCACTGTAAAAAGATCATGTACTTTCCAAATGATCTTCTGTAGTTGCTGAAACCTCTACAGAGCCTAATCGTAAGCGTGGGATTTGTGTCATGATGACTGACTATTGAAAACCTAATTTTTTCTTAATGTTGAGAGTTTTCCGCGCATATTAATGTTCTTTTTTGCCACTGTTTTCCCTGCACTTTTCCATAATTGAGTCGGTATGACCGGAAACTAGTCAATACGACCAAAGTAATCTAGGATATGACCGATTTCTTACTCGATCGCAAACTAGGTCACGCAACTCTTTTTTGCGTATCTGACACGATACAAGCCAAAAAAACGTATCAACGAACTTCAAACAATCAACTTCAAAGATAGGAACGCAAGAGGACACAAAATTGAGTGAGGTAACGAATGAAACAAATGAATGTAACAATAGCGAAGGCGGCAGTAAAGAGGCGCCTGAGCGGGACTTCTGAGGTACGAGGCTCGCAAGAATTATGCGACGAGATGAAGAAACAATGACACAACAAAAAAAAGAATATGCAGCGAACAAACTGAATTAGCTGTCAGTTCGAATAGAGAGTTAGCGGCAAAGAACCTTCCCGAATATTCAGCGTCTCACGGCGGCTATGCGAGAATGATTGCGGCCTAGGTGAGGCGATCCTGCGGGGTCCAAAACAATCTGCGACGGAACGGGGGTTCCCCTGTGTTGCGAAAAACAGCGACTAAAACGACTCGGTCCTTGCGTCCCAACCGACGCTTCTCTCCCGCGTTTTTCTCGCGCCAGATCTGCAACAAGTAGATCATTTGAAATTATCGATCTCCGACAACCCTCTGACACCTTTTCTCACAACCCCCGGGGTTCAAAAAGAGTGGTCCCTTTACTCGTACTTATTTTGAAAACTCACGTGTTTCGTGTCGACCACGAGACCAAAATTTTCCACGTTTCGGCATGCTTCTGCCGTTATATCCAGGTTCCGAGTTGCCACTGCTTCTTTTGCGGGTGACGGTCTTGTCGTCCGCCTCAGTCCGTGGTTCTGGCCACAGTGGTACCCAAAATTTGCGTACTTTTTCATACCAAAGACGAGTCTTGAAACGTCCAACTATTTCATTGTTGTCGTACGGGTCACTCCCAAGGCAACGTATGGGATTGTCCCATTCTCCAGCAGGGGCGTCTTTCCCGAAAAACTTAACTTCCATATATGGGGCAACGGTGCTAAGAACGACTGAGACGTTTGAGGCCGCGTGTTCCCATAAGCGAATGTTCGACTCGGAATTGTGTTCCCTGGGTGCCATTCCAACGGCGAAATTTATATCCATTGTTCTCAGGCTGTCCAGCCATGGTCGTAACACGTATAGGGTAATCTCTTTATCCGAGAACCCTTTTCCGATGATCATCAACACATCGCTCTTGTTCTCTGGGGGCGGTAGGGAGTCGTTGTCATAAACTACGCCTTTGACGCTCTCTGGCAACCATCTGAGTACATTTTCCAGGTTTTTTGGAACGAACAGTGCCAGTGAGCGCTTTGGTCTTTCCCACGGACCTTCCCAGTTCTGGCCGTGAATGAGGCTCATCGCATTCTGGAAGACTGCGCTCAATCTTTTGCAGGATCCAGCAATTCGAATGTGCTCGTGGTAGAAATCGGAGGGCTCGAGCTTTTCCTCGCTGAGCTGAAAATGTAAACAGCTCCCTCTGTAATATAGTAAAGCGACTGCCAGCGCTTCTGCCGAGGCTTCGTTCGCCTTTTTCGCCATTTCTATGAGCTTTTCTCTTTCTGACAAGTTGTCTTGCAGCCAAACTTGCACGAGTTGAGCTAATCTGTACACATTTTCGAATCTTATGCCCTGCATGTGTACTGGTAGTCCTTTCAGTACATGATCCAAACGTGTTGCTTGTGTGTCCGTTAACAAGGGACAAGGCACCGACAAACGGAATCCATTGAAATCGCCTGGTGGCTTCGCGTGCGCCTTCTCATGACACGTGAATTGCACATGTAGAGGATGTGTGACGTCGTCTGTCAAGATCAGCTGCTTGGGGTAGCGCCTGAAACAGCTTTTTTCACTAATGGTAACGCTATGCACCATCACTGTTTTCTTCTTTTTCCGACTTTTTCTTTTCGTCTTTGTATGGATAGGTGTGTCATCAATATAGGCGGGTACCCTACGAAGAAGATCATGTTGGACCCTCAACGGTTCTGATTTTTCCCCTATCTCTGTTATCAAAGCAGAGTTATCGCTAACTTCTATGACGCGATACGGGCCTGCCCATGGATGGGTTAGTTTTGGGTACACCGACTTGCCTTTTTCAGCGGGCATTCTCAAAAACACCCTCTCTCCTACTTTGGGAAGCTTATTTGGGCTTACTTCCGGTCTCTTATCATACTGCTTTTTCATTTTATTTCTGTACACCTCAGCATTCTCCTTTATGAGATCCTGTGTAAGCTTCATTCCTGCCATGAGTTCAGAACGGTAGTCGTCTATGTCTATCCGATAGGGTGAGATTTCACTGGCAGGTATCACGTTGGAAGGGTAAACGGGGTCAAATCCGTATAGGGTGAAAAATGGGCTCTCGCCTGTAGCTGTATGCGGGCTTACATTGTAAGCATACGTAACATTTGGAACCACTTTGTCCCATTCCGCTGTTACTCCGCCTCGCTTCTTCAGCATCCTTAACAGCGTTTGGTTGGCTCTCTCCGTTAGTCCGTTTTCGCGAGGGTTATATCCCTTCGTGAATATCTGTGATATTCCTGCGACCTGGCAAAGTGCCTCCATCACGTTGTTCTCGAATTCTTTTCCTTGATCCGATAGTATGGTTTTTGGCCATCTGCCTCCTTCGCAGATCCATCTGCCGAATACCAGTTGGGCTATATCTTCCGCCGATTTGGTAGGAGTTGGATACGCCGCTAGCCACTTTGAAAAGTGGTCAATCACAACAACTAAGTATCTGTTACCACTTGCGGACATTCCGACCTCTAGTACGTCGACGCCTATAACCTCAAACGGTTTCGTCACGAGAAACGGCTTCAGTGGAGGTACCCACTCTTTTCGATTATTCGTGAGGAAACAGTCACGGCATTGTTTGCACCAAAGAGCAATATCTTGGCGCATTCCCTCCCAAAAAACCTCTTTCTTGAGTCTTTGGAAAATTTTCCGGGCATTGAAATGCCCTGCCAGCGCTCCTGCGTGTGCCTCATCGAACACTGCGCGCCTTCGTGACCGTGGGACTACTTTTGCAATTGTGCCGTCTTCCAGTATCAAGCACAAATTGCCCTGGCTGATGCAGAAATCGGCTACACGGAAAGGTTTTTCGTGCCTCGGTAGCCTTACTTCATCGAGCTCTTTCCCCTGCTCTAATTGTGCTATTACGTGTCCGTAGTCTGGGTCTTGTTGTAGTTCTTCGAACCAGCTTTTTCCGATTTCCACCGAGTTTACCACTTTGACGAGCTCTACGTTATCCTGCTGGGCTTCCACTCTTTCGGTTAGTCCCCTGGACAACGCGTCGGCTACCCTATTGGCTTCGCCTTTTACGTATTCGATCTCAAGCTGGTACGACTGCACTTCGAGAGCCCAGCGTATCACTCTCGGTGAGACATTGGATCTCTTGAACAATGTTGTGAGTGGTTGATGGTCTGTGCGCACTATGGTTTTCACTCCGAACACGAAAAAGTGGAACTTTTTCAACGCGAAAACAATAGCTAGCGCTTCGAGATCGGTAACGTGATATCGCTCTTCAGCTTTAGAAAGTCTTTTCGAAGCAAAATACAACGGATGGATCATCTTGTCATCGCCTTCCTGGCAGAGGACAGCACCCACTCCGTGAGTGCTTGCATCCGTGTATATGATGTAGGGCTTTTCACCCGATCGAGCCGCTTGCACATTAGGCTGGCCCAGCACTGGAGCTTTTGTGATTGCATTTTTCAAGTTTTCAAAAGCTTTTTCGTGCTCATTCTTCCAGCAGAAAGGCACGCGCGAGCTCGTAAGCTCGAAAAGGTTTTTTGCAATCTTTGAGAAGTTGAGGATGAATTTCCTATAGTAGCCGCACATGCCAAGGAATGTGCGTAGTTCTGTGATGTTATTAGGTCGCGGATAGTTTCTCACTTTTTCGACCTTCTCTGGGTCAGTTTTCAAACCGCCTTCATCCAGAACATGTCCTAAGAATGCCACATTGTTTTCAAGCAAAGTGCACTTCTTAGATTTGAGTTTTAGGTTAGCTTTTCGGAAAGCGAGAAACACTTTCCTGAGCACTTCAAGGTGCCTTTCCTCACTCTCCGTTGCCACCAATATATCGTCGATATACACAAAAACTTCATCTCCTTTCAGCTCGGCTAGAACCATATCCATAAGCCTTTGGAATATGGCTGGGGATGTACTCAATCCAAATGGCAAGACTTTGAATTCGAACAACCCTTCTGGGGTAGTGAACGCACTCTTTCTTTGAGCGTCACTGCTAAGCTTTACCTGCCAATATCCGGATGCCATGTCGAGGGTACTGAAATATTTCTTGCCTGTTAGGCTCTGCAATACAGTATCGATCGACGGCAGCGGATAAGAATCTTGTTTAATATGTTTATTGAGGACTCTGTAATCGATGCAGAGTCTCAATGTTTTGTCCTTCTTCTGCACGAGGACAACAGGGGACGCCCAATCTGATGTTGACTTCGCGATAACTCCTCGAGCTTCCAAATCGCTCAATATGGCTTTGAATTCCGGTTGGACTCCTCGCGGCACCGGGCGGACTTTCTGTTTTATTGGCTTTGTGTTTCCTGTGTCGATGTCATGCTGTATCAGGTCGGTTTGTGTTAGTTCGTGGTCGCTAACAGCAAATACATCGGCAAATTCCTGGATTAGTAACCTCAGCTTCTGAGGGAGATCTCCAGATCTTCTATTCGTGCTTAGGTGGGCTAGTAGCGTTTCCATCCTTGGCTCTGTAGCGTGCTTCTTCGACAGCTCTAACATGTCTGACTTAGCATCTACAAGCCGGGGATCCACCCATTTGTGTTGCGACCACTCGCCAATCACTTCCCCTTCTTTGAAGACCACCGGTTCATCGCGGTTATTCAATACTGGCACCTCCGCCAGTCCTTTTTCGGATACTGAACACACGCCGCTTTGAATCAGCCGATTGTGTGACCACAGGACTGCATTTTTCAAATGCTGTTCACATCGCACTTTTATTTGACTGCAGGTCCTTGGCTTTACGTATGATCTCTTAGCTACAACGGCTGTGGACGCGTTTTCTGGCATTCCCGAGTTCCGGCTCTGCCAGTGTTTTTCCTGCGCGCCTTCAGTCTTGTTGTGGCCATGAGTTGTTTCATCTCCAGCGGAGATTAGTATTTGAATCCCGAGCACCTCTAAGGCGTTGGTTCCTAATAGCAAGATTTCATCTTTGAGTCGCTTCACGTGCATCTGGACGAGGCTTTTTCTTCCTCCAATGAGTTCCAGCTCCGTCTCCATGCACCCTAGAAAATTCATCAGATTTCCTGATGCGTCAAAGACTTCCATGTCTTGGGCTTTTACCTCTTTACAGAGTGTGTCAAGATCTGCCCCTGCCTTTTCGGCTTTGAGCAGGAAACTCAATGGCATAATGGTCAGCTGCGACCCAGTGTCGATCATAGCAGGGAGTTCTAACCCTAGACACTGCAGCTTGACCATATGCTTCGGGCCTACTAGGCTACATACCTTTGTGCCCGATGTACTTGCGCTGCAGGACCACCCTTTCAGCGTAGCGCTGAAGGAACCGCCAACTTCTCTTCTACCCTTTCTTGACCAACATTCTTCTGTGTTATGGCCTTTCTTGCCGCATTTTGCGCACTTGGTCGCCTTGGGCATGTTATCAGCCATCTTGGGTTGGTCTTCTTTGGGCGTAGAAACTTGAGTTGCACTAAGGTCCTTGCTTCTACGTCCTGAGTCGCTGTGCGTGAATTCCCTTGGGGTTGCTGGTTGCTTTGACGTCAATCCGCTTTTGTCACGTCTATCCAGCTTTTTCCCGTTGAAATCGTATCGTCTTTTGCGTAAGTGCTCGATGCGTATTGCTGCATCCTTCATACGCTCGTAGACGTAATACACTTCTTCATTGGTTAGAATTTCATACAAGTGGTACGCCTCCGGCCAATCACGGAGCTGCTCGTGCAAAACTTCTGCTCGAATAAGTGCAAGGGCTGCCTCATCACAGCTCGGGTATGCCTTCGATGACAGAAGTTCCAGCTCGAGGCAGAACTGCACCACTGACTGGTGTTCCTTCTTCCGCAGCATTCGCATTGCCCTCAGTGCTTCCGCTTGAGACTCTTGGCTTTCCAGTCTCATACGGTTTTTCAGCTCCTGGACAACTGTATTGAAGGAACTATTCTTGACTGCACTGGACAACGTATTGTAATGTAACTTCGCCTCTCCCCCTAGAAATCCTACGAGGATCTCCTTCCGATCCTTTTCATTATACGCTCTTTGCGGGTATTTTAGTTTGAAGGCTCTTATGAAATCTTCAAATTTTTGGTTAGATTCATTGTTAAATATTTTTATGTCGGGCATTGCTAATGAGCGAAAAAATTCTCTCATCGTTTCATCCGACACGCGCCCTACCCGTGAGCTACTTTTCACTTTCACACTCTCACTGCTTTCATTGTCTGTGTCTTCACTAGACGTACCTGTTGGCCCATTCAGCGTATATGGGGTCGTCCCTTGTTTCGATTGTTTCGCCTTTCTCATCGACTGCAACGAAAGCTCTCTATCGCTGTCGTTTGCTTGTGACACTTCTCTGTGTGAATCGCACTCACCGTCCATGCGGATGCCCTCTGGTCCATAAAGCTCTTCACGACGCTTTTCCAACTGTTTTTTCCGAAGTCGAGCATTTTCGATCTGTAAATTGTTTATTTTGTTGTTATTTTCAATTGTTATTCTTACTAAATCATTTGGGGCGCACTCATTTATATCGCATAATGTTTGCACTATGTCTTCTACGCCCTCCTGGCCTACTGTCGTGTTGGATGCGCCTTGTTCGTTTAGCCTTTCCAGTAGGACTAATGTGGCGCTGACCTTATCATTGATCGATTCCAACACAACAGTACGCCTTTTATCCGACGTGGTGAAAAACTGCGCCAACGCCATGTCGGCTTGAGTAACTACCGCTTTTACCTCCTTGCGCATTTGTTTTATCAGCTCACCACGGCCGCTCACCTGGGGTTTTCCTTTCTCCATTTTGTTGGTTATCTCCGAAACTGCTAGATTGTGGATTTGAGCCGCAACGTCCGATTCTTGGGACGATTGATGACTGCCTGTCTCCATGCTTTTTCTTTAACACGGAACTGCAACAACAATTATATGTAGGCGGCTGCCCGTAAGGTATCAAGTAAGGGTTTAATCACACCTGATGAATCAACGCGACTTTGAAAAATCCAACAAGCGTCACGCGTGAAATGCGGACCTTCCAACTGCTTCTAGCGACGATCTTCTTTCGATCGGTGCACACGCACTGCAATTGAAACCTTCAGTGATCGATACGGCTCTTGGCCCCCAAGTCGGTATGACCGGAACTAGTCAATACGACCAAAGTAATCTAGGATATGACCGATTTCTTACTCGATCGCAAACACTAGGTCACGCAACTCTTTTTATGCGTTATCTGACACGATACAAGCCAAAAAAACAACGTATCAACGAACTTTAACAATCAACTTCAAAAGATAGGAACGCAAGAGGACACAAAATTGGAGTGAGGTAACGAAACGAAACAAATGAATGTAACAATAGCGACAGTAAAGAGGCGCCTGAGCGGGACTTCTGAGGTACGAGGCTCGCAAGAATTATGCGACGAGATGAAGAAACAATGACACAACAAAAAAAAAGAATATGCAGCGAACAAACTGAATTAGCTGTCAGTTCGAATAGAGAGTTAGCGGCAAAGAACCTTCCCGAAATATTCAGCGTCTCACGACGGCTATGCGAGAATGATTGCGGCCTAGGTGAGGCGATCCTGCGGGTCAAGACAATCTGCGACAGAACGGGGTTCCCCTGTGTTGCGAAAAACAGCGACTAAAACGACTCGGTCCTTGCGTCCCAACCGACGCTTCTCTCCGCGTTTTCTCGCGCGATCTGCAACAAATAGATCATTTGAAATTGTTGATCTCCGACAACCCTCTGACACCTTTTCTCACAGTTGCACCGTTCGCGTTGACAGTGGAGAGTTTGCACTCATGTATGATATGTGGGATGAGGCGGGGACCAAGAAGTTGAGTGAACGAATGTGGTATCAACTGATGAGAACTGGTAAGGGGCGCAAAGTGTGGATACCACCAGTTCCGTTGCGGCCCTTGCGGTTACATTGAAACCTTGGCTCTCACATGTGGCATAGTATGGGACGGGAACACAGATAGCAGATGATCAGAAGTGATAACATGCGATGAGTTACGGGAACACAGATAGCGGATGATCAGAAGTGATAACATGTGATGAGGAAGTTAAGATTTTGATTAATGCTAATTTGTGGTAAATATTAGCTCCTACACGTTGCGTGGTGGTAACGACTGGGACACCGATTGCGAACAGTATGAAGTGATAAGAGATGTTAAGGAATGATAAGCGCGTTTGAATGCAGGTCTCTGCAACTTTGTTGCGGTTATCACTGGCAAGCGATCAAAGTAGTGAGAGTTGAATGTAGGAGAGAGAAAGTGGTATGAGCGGCAACTGTACTAATAAAAGTAGCGACAGTTGATCGTGCACTCGATTGAACTAAGCCAGGCCTCTAGCACGTGAATATGTTCCATTCCTACCCTTTCATTTGAAGAAGCAGAGGAAGTTGAGCTGCTCCACTTTCTGGACTTGGACTAATAGCCAATTAAATCATATTTCCAATTTCCATTATAGCTCTGTTGATGCTGCTTTCTTATATTTCTCTTACACACCGATTCTTCAACTGTGGAAATTCTATAAACCGCTAACTCACCCGAGCTCGATGTCAGTGCTAAATGTTTACGAAGTCATGAAAAGTGCATTTTTCATTTCGCACGCTACTGCGCGCATTACCCTACAATCTTCAGCAAAATTGGACGGCCTTTGAAATTGATGTGACACATCTTCCAAACATGTTACTGTTAGCTTCTCAGCCACGTGACCTAATATTCAGCAAGTTGTCCAACTTCATTAAAGCCTACCATGTGATGCGCGCGGTTGCGTACGGAGCTACACTGGTTTATATTATACCAAAAAGCTTATTGAGACTGCGACAACAGCTCGGGAACGAAACCCATCGTAAACTGCTACTCGTTTTGAATTCCTACTTCTTCACTTGAAAATTACCTTTGACTTGCATGCCACTAAACTGCTAACGAACTTATTGGAAAGATTCGCCAGAGATTAAAATTGAATTTGAGGTTCTGCTCCCTCGAGGACGCTGGAACGATGCTTCGTGTTTATACAAATCGCGTTCCAGTAATCACGTTCCTTTCTAATATAGAATCCTCGAAATGCTATGACGACAGTCCTTTAGTATAGTAGATAGTACAGGGCGGTGCAAAATCATAGGACACCCCCAAGAATGTGAAAATTAGACCGCCCTTATCGAAAACCTATACTCAGAAGTTACCAGGTTATCCGATTAGTTTCCATATTTTTAGACAATTTTTTTGAATTCTGGAGTCGGTGCAAAATCATAGGACAGAATTCTCTCAGAATTCTTCTTACTATTGGTTTTTTTATCCAACCAGCAATGATAGTAGCACTTGCTCAGTGTATGGCAACCTCACTAGAATTACGGTTTGAGTTGCTCTCCCCTCCTCCGCGAGTGAAAGCCAGAGGTTGTTTTTATACGCGCCTACTACCTCTACCACCACCATCGTAGCCATTTTTGGGAGCTCAAGGAAAACCGTTACTAAGTACTTCAAACTGTTACTACGAATAGAAATAGGAGAGCACCAAGAAAAACAGCAGAAATTTTCAAAAGGATTGGCGCATAACCTCAAAGACTACATCGAACAAAATCACCCTGCACGCTCAGCCTGTGTTAGCTCTACACAGAAGGCGGATTAAACCGAAATCATCCGGCAAAAACAAGGGACATCTAGCGTAGGGTCCTGCGAAACGTGCTCCCATGCTCGTTAGGCCGTCTGACTGAAATCAGGGAGGAGAAATTCGAACGAAAGACAGAGTCATGGCTGGGCTTTGTTGAGCATTCTCATTCTACAGCATGGGTATTTTGTTCCTTTCAGACCTTGATAACAAGGAATTTCACATTGATTATTCACATGACGTTGTTCACTAGTGGAGTAATATAGGTCATCTCGATGTGTTCCGTCAACGAAATTGTCGCGGTAGTTTCCTAAGGATGAGTGGAGGCGTAACCTCATTCTGAGTCCCAGACCTTAAAAGCAAGATCAAGATTAAACTGATGAGGTACTTCCACTCAAATGTGAAAGTAGGAATGGGATTTGAACCGCTAGTGGAGAAAAAAGGAAAGAAGATCCTGAAAAAGACAAGAAATACGAACATTTTGCCTCATGCTGTGACGGAGATCAAAAGACAGGCGGGGGATGAGAGAACGTGGAAGCGGTGGAGTAGTCCTAGAAGAGTGAGCATAACAGATCAACGCAGCGACACAGACAAGATATCGAACAGTTCGCGGACAAGATTAAGTTGTAGAGTCTGTTAGACGTCCATGGAGCGTAGGGACCTAGTGACGCGTTTCGATGTAGAAATGTGGCGCTACCTTTGCACTTGCGTACCCAGCACATCTAGCTATAGGGATTCTCGGGTGGGTCTGAGCCCGAACTTTGCCTTTAGGTTTTTCTCGACTTGAATAAGTCTAGTAGAGAGCACGAGAGGCACGAAAATCCACCTGTCATCCTCTCTTTTACAGATTTCGCGTAAAAGACTACCTTTTTGACAAGTAACACACCTTATCGTGCGAAGGCTCCAATGAGCCAGTTATTACAAACTAGCTTAGTGACTTCAAAAGAATGGCCAGTAAAGAGTGCGCATCTGAATTTGTCGACACTCACTTGGATACCCTTTGCTAACAATTGCTGCGCAAATCTCAAGAGATCAACACAATTTTAAAGTTGAAGCAACAGATTCCCCACTGATGAGCACCATGAATTTAAAAATGTATAGAAATTTGCAGCAACGTTTCTTCTTGTATGGATAGTGTTATTCTACTAAGCGGTTCCCTTTGAAATACTAACACAGAAAGATTCGGCGTATTTCTGTATTTTTAAGGTTTTAAAAGCGGGGTGTCCCATGACTTTGCACCGGCTCCAAAATTAGAAAATTTGTCTAAAAATACGGAAAACTAATCGAATAACCTTGTAACTTGTGAGTATAGGCTTTTATAGATGCGGTTTTGATTTCATAGCTTGCCATGATCTTTCTCGAATTCGAGATATTCATATTATAATGGGCGGTGTCTAATGATTTTGCACCGCACTGTATTGTACTAGTTTCCGTTTTTCCAGGTTGAAATTGGTCGAGTAAAACAGTTCAGTTAAGTAACAGTTAATAATTTAGTTTCCGCAAGTGCAGATGCTTGAATGGCTGTCGCAGATGTTCACTATTGTCGACTAGTAAAATGGCATTGTATTGAAGAGACATTGCCTTTGCTAATCTGTTTCTACCACAGTAAAAAATTTTATGATGTATGTATCACCTCATTTCTTCATTTACCTCAACATTTTTCAAGTCACTTGCCTTTAATGGAGGTATTTTCAACTATGACAGCCAGCCAACATAGCTGTTCTCGCGCACTTTTCACGCCAATTTTGCCACTGCTACCTTTGATGGATCCACGGCTTGGCTTATCCTTTGTACACCCCAGTTTGAGTATTGAGCACCGAATACAGCACGACGGAGGTGCCGCCACGTACCCTCGTCTTCAAATGACCAGAAATTTTGCAGTTGCAGAAATTGTCGTGGCATTAACGTGGCATCGATTCAAGAACATCTCTGAGCACACGTGAAATCATCTTTTCATAGAGAATTTAGCCACGTGTGCCAATGCCACGTCAATTTCTGCAATTGCACAATTTCTGGTAATTTGAAGGCGAGGAGACGCTACGCGCAATTTCACCTTCGCAGTTCTTTTTGGAATCAGCTTATGACTACTTCCCAAAATTCTGATATCTTTGAGCTTGCTAGTGAAGAGGTTCAACGCACGAAGTAAGAACAGTTCAGTGACTAGCGTTTTCAGAAAAGGGTGCAATTGCATTGAATAATAACTTGCATATTGCTTGTCATTAGAATCTTAAAAAAGGAGCTAAGCAAAGCGGACACTCTTGTCCACAGGCATCGTGTCTTCA